GTTTTCCTCAGACGGCACTGCACGCCTAACACAGTGCGCGCGCATGCGCAATATCTCCCGAGAGAAATCGTATTTTGCAAAAATTGTGCATTTAACACGAAGAGGAGTTATCCTAGCATAGATTTATATGATAACATTTCATCTGTAGATATCATTTAAGAAATAGGAGGAAGACCTTGCCTGTAAGGTCCCGGCTGCGTATACCTGACAGTACACAATCTGGCTACGTTAGTGTGTTAGGGCATGCGCAATATCTCACCAGAGGAGTTATATTTTGTGATGAATATGCATTTAAAATGGTTAGGGGGTATCTCAGCATAGATTTCCCTAATAAACTTTTATCAGTAGACCTCTGTTTATAATTAGGAGAGCACCCTAGCATGTAGGGTACAAAACACCTACTTTATGCCGTCGCGTCCTTCCCCTTGCCTCCCCTGCCCCTCGCTCAGCCTCCTTCTACCGCCCCCAGCTATCTTCCCTGCCGGATTTCCTCAGTCTCCCATCCCCTCTCCCCCTCAGCAAGCTATATTATGAAGTTTGCCTCAGACGTCACTGCAATGCCTAACACGGTGCGCGCGCATGCGCAATATCTCCCGAGAGAAATCGTATTTTTCAAAGATTATGCATTTAAAATGAAGAGGACTTATCCTAGCATAGATTTGTATGATAACATTCCATCTGTAGATATCATTTAAGAAATAGGAAGAAGACCTTGCATGCATTCTTCATTAAAGTCTGTCTGGTGATCGCGTAAGCGTGAAACTCGGAGTAACAGCAAAGAGCTTATAATGGTTGCTCATTATAAGCTCTTTGGTAACAGCTAAAAGTGATGTATTGTCTTGAATTTCTCTACAGACTACAATTTATATATATATAATAACGAATATAATGACAGTATAGTATATTATAGAATATTTATGCGACAGACGTGTAATAACAAAGACCGCATACAATATGTATATTTTCTGTTAGCATTACCATCACCATGATAATTTTTCCTTTCTGTTATCTACTATATAATAGTAGAAAGAGCCGAAGTGTCGTTTTTCATCCATCCATCCATCCATCCATCCATCCATCCATCCATCCATCCATCCATCCATCCATCCATCCATCCATCCATCCATCCTTCCATCCATCCATCCATCCTTCCATCCATCCATCCATCCATCCATCCTTCCATCCATCCATCCATCCATCCATCCATCCATCCATCCATCCATCCATCCATCCATCCATCCATCCTTCCATCCACCTATCCATCCATTTATCCTTCCGCCACCTATCCATCCATCTATCCAGCCCTCCAGCCATGCTTCACATCGGTCCCATCTGTCTATCCCTTTTGTAATTCTTATCGGCACTTCAATGCACACAGAATCACACACTAACACTAAAGGGATGAAGTAGGATATGAATGTGTAAAACAAATCTTATTAATACCAAAAGTGCAATAGAGATGTGAAAAACCACATGATCTATCTTGGATGTGCTATCCGCATTTATCTTCGTAGCCACTTCACACCTGTTATAACAGGGATACAATGTGCGGTTATAAATTTAGTACTCCCGTTAGATGGCGTAACGAGATTATATTGGATCCATAGATGTGATCATATAAATCACGTGAACATGAAAGCGCCCTAGCATGTAGGGTACAAAACACCTACTTTATGCCCTCGCGTCCTTCCCCTTGCTTCCCCTGTCCCTCGCTCAGCCTCCTTCTTCTTCTACAGGCCAGAGCTATTTTCGCTGCCGCCTGTCCTCAGTTTCCAATCCCCTCTCTCCCTCAGCAAGCTATACAGTAAAAACCCGCGTATAAGAACATAGATTTTTCCAAGTTAGCCTCAATAGGTTCTTATATAAATGGTGCTTACTCTAAAATTAGGCTCAAAAGGTTCTTAAATAGGTTCTTAATTGTTTCTACTTTTAATATGTCTACTTTTAAGCTTATACTTGATTCAAATTGTGTTAAAATTTTCTTACAAGGACTGCAATTTTTGCTAATTAATACCCATGATGGGCTACAGTGTAAGTTTTTCAGTGCTTACCATACTGTATGATACAGTATGTATCCAAGGAAATAAAACAACATGCCAAAAAATGGAGGAGAAAAAAATGGAAAAAAAACATGGAAAATTAAGAACCTACTTTAAAATTAGCCTAAAACAGGTTCTTATGTAAAGGGGTCTAAATGGGAAATTTTAGCCTAACATGTTCTTAAAATCTATGTTCTTATACGCGGGTTTTTACTGTATTATGAAGTTTACCTCAGACGGCACCGCACGCCTAACACGGTGCGCGCGCATGCGCAATATCTCCTGAGAGAAATCGTATTTTGCAAAGATTATGCATTTAAAATAAAGAGGAGTTATCCTAGCATAGATTTGTATAATAACATTCCATCTGTAGATATCATTTAAGAAATAGGAGGAAGACCTTGCATGTAAAGTCCCGGTTGCGTATTCCAGCCAGTACACAATCTGGCTACGTTAGTGTGTTCAGTCGCTCACCTCAGTTCGCGTCGGACGCCGGAATTTGTTCGCGACTAATGAGGCGTAGAGTTTTTATATTTAATTCTATATTTTCGAACTACTATCGGTGTGCGGTATTTCGTTCAGTCTCCAAGAACAGCTTCGGCAGAACGAGTAGTCGAATAAATTACATGCTAAATAGATTTTGTTCGCGTAAACAACACGCAAAGTATGGAATGGAAGCTTCTAAGACGAACGCATCACTGAAGCTTGAGCTTTCCTTTCGTAGATGCGTCGACGTTCGTTTTAGTGCATAGCTAATTCAGCCTCATACTATGAGCTTATTTGGCCATTTATATCAGCTTGTTTGAGAGGAGATAGATGCACACGGTATTAACTAGTCCACCGACCGCGTAAGCCGCAGCATCCATGTCAGGTGCTGGATGTGCTCCACGTAGCGCACTTCGATTACTTATAGGTGGCGCGGTGCGATAGCAGGGACTGCTCCGGCTAACCTAGGTCTCAGTGCTCGCCTCGGTCCCGAACCGGGTGGCCTCGGTCCGTCGCGACGCGACCTGGATACGGAGGCGACTCTGCGATACCGGATACGGGCATGACTCGGAA